TAATGCCTTTTTAACATCATCTATACTAATGGTGTATCTTCCATAGATGAGAAACTCTCTAAAAGACTTGTATGAGGGTGGTAAGGAATAGAGTAACAAAAGGGTTTTATCTCCATCTTCAACCTTAATAGCAATATTTTGCAAGCCCATGATAATAGAGTTAAATTCATCAATATGAGATTTTATAGGTGCACCTTCAGCCATCCGAAACAGGAATAGTTGTTGCTTCAAGTAGAGCTTACTAACAAGAGATTTTCACAAGTACAAAGACTCCAACTATCGCCACAAACCTGCAGCAGTCTTCTCATGAATCACTTCCCGCACAACTTTATTTGATAGCATCAACTGAATAGTGATTAGGTCTTTAAAATCTAACTCCTCCCATTCTTCATCACTAATAGTTGTAGGTTTATTCTCCTTCCCATACAAAGCTTTGTGTAGTCCATCTTGTCCCAAAATGGCACGTATCTTGACTTGCCAAATACTAAAACTGATGCGGGCCATGCTGCCCTCCCCGGTGAAAATTTTGAGGGTCGACCAAGCACAGCCCACGGCCCGAGCCGGTGTTGTGTCCTGTTGTTCCACCAGCCGGGTTGGCCTGTGGGACGAGCCTTGGGCCAGTCGGGCCGTGTATCAGGCCAAAGCAATTTATTTAAAAAATTGACAAAAAAACTTAAAATTTTAGTTTTATATGAATTTTGTGTATAAAATTGCTTATATATGCAATAATTAAATAAATTAGTATAATAAAATTAAAAAAATATATATTTATTTTATTAATATATTATATACTATATATTAATATATAATTATAATATATATATAATATATATGGGTTGTGCCACGGGCCGTGCCAACCCGCAAGCCATGGGCGGCATGGCCCGCTTGATCGTGCCATGCCGTGTCGACCCATGGACCTAAAATCCTAGGCCCAGCACGGCCCGCATGGTCGTGTCGGGCCTGGCACGGCCCGTAGACCGTTGTGTCGGGCCGGTCCAAGTTCGTGTCAGGCTGCGATTTACACCTCTAATCTTATATATGGTGGGTCCTAGTCTCATAGTGAGATGTGTAGTATTAGGTCAAGTTGGTAGAGGGTTTGAACATGTTTTGTTGGCAGAAGATCAATTGGGAGAGTTCATTGTGGGTCAGGCCATGACTACTTGCTCTTTGATTGTAAGGGTATTTCCCAGTCTTTCTCTTCAATCACTTTCTCTCATGTATCCCGTTCTTGTAATAGTGTTGCACATGCGCTTGCTCATAATGTCTCTCAGACCTCTCTCAATCCTGATTTGATCATATCTGCTATGTTAAATGAGATGAATCATTGATGAATGGATTGTGCCTTTCATGGCTTCAAAAAAAAAAAAAAAAAAAAAACTTTGAAACTCTTTTGACCCTCTCTAATACAACATAGATATAAATTAGATGGGTTGGGTGGAGTTAGGGCCAACGCTGGACCAACATTGAACATGAACCTTGTATTGAAACCAAACTGATGTCAAAACCTAGTTTTTTGGGTAAAAGATTTAAACATACCCTAAGTTTTCCTAAACCGACTTAAAAAGATACCTTGAGTTTTACAAATTGACTTAAATATACCATACCTTGTAGGTTGACCCCACTGGACTTATAAATATACCCTCATTAAAACATTAAGGCCCCATTCGCTTTTCGGTAAGTTACATACTCCGGTAAATGCACTTACCCAGGTAAGTGTTCCCAGGAAAGATTTACCCGGGTAAGTGCATTTACCCATGTTCTTTTATTTCCCATGTAAATAAGGTAATGACTATTTTAGCCATAAAAATTCATTATTATAAGGGGTCTTTTTGTCCCATTCAAGTATTGGCAACTTTCCCCCCTACCACTTACCCAGTAATTGATACACAGGAAAATAAAAAAACTTTCCCTGGTCCCCACATAAATATGATAAAAGAACATGGTATTCTTGGTCAATATTCCCATTAACCAACTTTCCCCTTTCAAAATCTAGAAAAAGAACACCCCCTAAGAACAATTAAGATGTGACATTAGGTGACTCATTTAAAGTTTTAAAATTCCTAATTTGCCCTTCACTCTGCCAAAGTGCATAATTTGTGTAAATCAAACCTGAATTGGAAGAAAATAACTGACCTCTGAATGGCGTCAGTCCAGAAAACCCCTCGTCCACCCCCACACACACACTGTCGAACTTGGTAGCGTAAATGGCGTGTTGTAGATTAACATACAAATTCTACTAAGATAAGAAAGGTTTCTAGTTGATTTGTTTTTCTCTTAAATATGAAAATCAATCCAGAAACCATAATCTCAACATACTAGTCCATGCGCTCAACAATGTTCTCCAGTATTCTGATGATTACTTTAGAGGTTCAAAGCATTGGCAATCTTGATACTGAAAATTTCAATGTTGAGTGATTAAAAGCATTGTTACTCTACTTTAAGGCTGAATTTGGAAAGAGTACAAATGCGTAGAGCGCAAAACCTTATATTTTATATTATTTCGTATGTATTTATGTTGTATATATTTGCAAACTGAGCTCAATTAAGTTTAAGTCAAAATTCATCTTTTCACCATTATTGTACTTGTACACCTACTACTTTTCATTATTCAAAGTTGTCAGTGTCCCTAATTACTAGTATTCAGAGTATCGTTTAATTCAAAAACAAACATGTGTCATCTGATATATGCGAAAAATCTATCATGTCGGAAACACATGATACATGAAGAACTTTCACCAAAAAATCAGTACACTAGCATTCAGAGTATCGTTTGAGAGTCAGCATGCATCACCCCTTTGAATCACGTAATATTTGATTTACTAATATCGAGTGTATTGATAATTTGAACCATACTGACAGCACAAGGATCAAATATAGGTTCATAGAGAAATTATATTCTTGGAGAACTACAGCTTTATATTATATCTGTTGAGATAATGAAGGTAGAGTCCGTTTGGTTCGTGATCGGAATCAGAATGGGAATCCTTTAAAATTGGAATCGAAATAGTCTATTCTTCTTACCTGTTTGGTTCAAACAGGAATTGGAATCGGGTTTCGATTGATGCTGTTTGGTTCATCAAGAGACTAGAATCAGAATCAGCCATGACTTTCAATTTTGCCCCTAATAAAAATAAAAAAGAAGAAAATGCATGAAAATACCCAAAAAATGCAGAAATTGTAGAAAATGCAGAAATTACAATAATTTTGTAGCAAATTCAAAAAAATGCATGAAAATTTTGTAGCAAATTTAGAAATTTTGCTTGTAGCTATCCACCGCTTCTTCAAACGTCTCCTCCGTCTCATTGTTAATCCACCCATACTCGCTCATGCCTCCAACCAAACCCACAGAGTTCCCTCCCTTGAGGGAGAGCCGCAATGTCAGCCGACGCCGAGATGACGGCGACGAGAATTGCAACAGTGGGCCTCAAACCGGTAAAAGCCATCTCACGGCACAGACAAAGGACCTCATCTAGGTGCCCATTCTGGGAGTAAACAGCGAGCATGGAATTCCAGAAGACCACATCTCTTACCAGAATGTTGTCAAAGACTCGACACACAGTCACTACACATCCACACTTGGCATACTTGTCAATAAGCGCAGCCCCTACAAAGGCATCCAATTCCCATCCCGCCCGTATGATGTGGCAATGGATCTCTCTCCCTTGTTGAAGCGCAGGGAGGGCGGAGCATGCCTTGAGGACGAAGGGGAAAGTGAAGTTGTTAGGGTGGAGACCACAATCAAACATTTGGTGGTAAAGGGAGAGAGCGGTTTGATGGGGTCCATTCCAAGCATAGCCTTGAATGAGAACGTTCCAAAGACATTGTCTTTAGGAATTCTGTCGAACAAGCAGTGAGCATGGGGTAAATGGTTGCAAACCAAGTAGAGATTAACAAGTTTAGTGGCTACAGTGGTGCTCAAACCGATGCCCGTAACGAGGAAGTGCGTGTGGATTTTCTTCCCAGGCTTGATTGCTTTTCCCTCGATAAGAGACTGGAGGAGTGATGCGTAGTGGTGGGTAGCAGTAGCAGAAGACGATGATGGTGAAATTGGGCCACGGTGGTGGTGGAGATCATATAGAGGATGTATGATTCTCGACGAAGGCACGAGTGGCAGATTTGGGGAGGTTCTTTGCCAAGGTGAAACCCTGGTGTACCCACGGCATCTTCCTTATGAATTGCAAATCCAAAAAAAAAAAAAGAAACTAATAGCAGAATGGGAATCACATTCCGGGGGAAAGGGTCGGGAATAGCCATTCCCCCATATGGGGGAATGGCATTCTGCCTACTCATTCCCATTCCGATTGACCAAACATCTGGAAACAGAATGACCCATTCAGATTTCAACTCCAGGGCCCTATTACCTCAAACCAAACGGACCCTTAGTTCAGTTGCCATTTTATTTGCCAATATAGGAAACTTTTGGACTTGTCTTTAAAGACAAAAGACTAGTGGCTCAGTATGCCAGGTTTTTAAAATGCATAAGAAGACCAAAAAGCTTCATTTTAAGCTTCCCAAAAGAAAAAAGACCGTCTCTCAATCTTCGGAGCTTGCCAAAACCCAGAAGACCGCACGAAGACTTGGCTAATGCCACCTTTTATCTTCTTGGTAAGCTTGCCTTTGATTGATTGGCTTCTTTGATTACGTTAAAGAACCAACAGGAGAGAAATCTTACATGATATCATAATTCAGAACTATCAATTATGTGCTATTTAATTGTCAGTCTATATATTTCATGCTTTTCCAAGTTTGGAGGTTGGGTCATTTTATTTGTATGACAGCCTGTGAATTAATGAATCCTCTTCCGACCACCCAGGATCTGCCTCTGAAGAATCACGAAAGTTAATGAACTGCTGGCCGTCGAGGTGTAAGCGTGAAGCCATTAGCCAACGCTAGAGAAGAACCACAACCAACAGAGGAAGCAGACGTGAAATTTCAATTTCAAGCATATGGTAACTGGCCTGACTAAGGAATGTGGATGCTCCATTGATATTCCAAGGCCAAGTTAAATATCTGGATTTCAAATTTAAGACAAACTAATTAAAAGAGCTCTTGCTCTTCCTAATTAATACCAGCATACCCAATAAGCAACTAAAGGAGTAGAACTGCAACTTAAAACTGAGCAAACCCATAACTTATTTTCAAGGTCAAAAGCCAGGAATTGAAACTCAAAAAAGAGGTCCAAGCAAAACTGGGGAAAAAAAGGCAAGCGCATGGCATAAACCTAATAAGCTCTAAGTGAGTCCTTTTAAAGAGACCAGTGCATTTGATTATTAGAAGAATCATACGCCCTTGAGCTCCCAAGTTCCATGTATTGCCTGCTACCTTGCTGAGAAAATTCAAGCTCACCGGAGAACTGACCGTCGACAGACTGAGAGAATTGTCTAATGCCTAAATCATGGGGAATCTCATGCGAGCTGCTACTACATTCATTTCCCTTGAAAGTCCATGAATTGCTTGTTAAGTTGTTTGGTATAGCACCATGAGGTGCTGATGATTGAACCATTGGGGCCCCTTCCTCGTTCAAGTTATTTGCTGCAAGATCTGTTGTACGAGTTCTGGAGCCCCATGATTGAGTTGACAGAAGAGAGAGAGCACAGCCAGAGTCAGAGACTCCTGCAAAACAATCACCCGGAGGAATTACGGAACTGGTAAATGCAGTCCCACCTGCCGGACCTTGCAGATATGGGTGTGACCCATGAGAGAAGGCATTGCTCGGAGGGTTCTCTGAGCTTCCCTGCCATAGATGTGGAAGAAATTTTCCCGTAGCAGTTGGTTGGTTGCCAGGTGGTCGATCACCAGCTCTTATGGTCGGCCACACATCCCTTGCTGGCTGTCTTGGGTATGCCGTAAAATCCATCAGAAAGCTTCCAACCCTGCCGCTAGCTTCTGCAAATTAAGAATAAAATTATGTGACCACAAACTATATACACAAAGGAAAAAAATGAATTAAGCTCCATAAACAATATAAATCATGCCCCTTCTGAAGTGTTCTACTGTCATTGTCTGACGGACCATGGAGAGAGGATGACAGACGTCCATAGCGTGAAGCTAACAAAGATCCAGGTGGTGGCTTCCTCCGACGCTCATTGTGCCCTGCCAAACGTCTACGACAACTTCGCTTTCCTTGGTCAAATTCAGACAGCTGATGAAATCTGTAGAAGAACTACCCAGAAGTCATTAATCTTGACAGCCTCAGAGAACGTAGAAATGATATTATCTCCTTTTTGTTCATAAATAACAAGTGCATGCTGAATTGAATGTACATGATGTTAATAGATAAGAATTCCTACTACAGACTTACAAAAGTTTATTAATCAGTCCAATGCACATAGCGCATGATGCAGTTTATTGGGGTCTATGCTGTTCAGATATACTGTTTCTGAACAACTAAAATAATTTCTATTTATCAACACAAACCATATAGGGTCAGAAATGAAGTCATTCGAAAGAACCTACGAGTAGCTCCAAGAAGTGATCAATGAGATAAAACTAAGATGGTTTGATTACGTGCATAGAAGACCTCCGACAGCACCCATAAGAACAAGTGATTTGTTGCAAGTTGAAGGGGCTAGAAAGGWAGGGGTAGAACAAAAAGGACATGGGTCGAAATAGTAAGAAATGATTTAAGTGCTAATAACAATGGATATGGCGGAATGACAAAACAGAATTCATGTAGCCAAACCCATGTAGTTGGTACAAGGATTGGATGATGGCGATGATGATGATGATGCTAATGATGAACCAACAATATCTAGGGTTTATCTGAAGTCATCTATCAACTGTTTAAGCAGTACAACATTTGATCCATGAAGTTTCATCGCACAGCAACAGAGTACAAGCATACACCAGAATGCTCCAAAAAAACATGACAGCATATCAAGTAACCATTTTTTTGCATGTTCCAGTATACTCAGTGAATCAAGTTTATACCAAGGTTTTTAAAATCAAACCGGACAACGAACTGGTCAGGGGTCCGGTTCCCGGGTCAAATGGTCCAACTGTTTGAACCGAATGGATGGTCCATTCTGACAAAAAAAATAAAAAATAAACGGCCAAACCGTTGGATGGTTCGAATGGTTCGACCGCCCGGGTCAGCGGTTTGCTGACCAAATCAACAGTTTTTGGCAAAATAATGGTTCTGGGGTAAAACGGAACTGGTCACCTGATCGGTTCCAGGTTTTTCCGGTCCAACCATCCAGTCCGATCCGGTTTTGAAAACCATGGTTTATACATGCATATAGCAGCATACTCTAGGCATATAGAAAGGGAAGATACAAAATCAAGATCAAATCAATTAATAAATACATATTTAAAAATCAAATGCATATTTAAAAGACAATATAAATGATATAAAAGATGATATAAAAGCAAATAAAGAATTCAAAAACCCCATTAACTGTCTTACAAAACAGACTTACATTTTTCTTTTGTATTAAGTTCACAGTATTAGAACAGAACCTGCTACACCAAATCATTGTTTTCCATCACTTATAAATGAATCAGTTTTTGTTATTGTATTTTATTAGGGTCTGATCAACACATATTCAAACCGACTGAACTACAAGAGAAGAGACTTGAAGAGCAACTATAGGGATGCCTTCCTTTCAAGTTATTTTTTTATTTTTTCTTGGACTGAAAAAGGGGCTTCCCCCCCCCCTTCTCGGTATTTTATTGTTCAAGGTTTTCTTTTGTTTTATTTATTTATTTTTTTGACTTTTTTATATTTGACAGAAATAGGGACTCCACCCCCTCCATTCTTCTATTTTGAATTTTCTTTTTCTAGTCCTAAAAATAGGCAGATGCTCATTCTTGTTGTTCTTATTTTTTTATTTTCTTTGGTTTCTGATAGGTTCCTTCTTGCTGTTTGATTGGTAAATTTTCTAATTGTTTCTAGTCTGCAATTGCTCTATGATTTATTGAATATTTCATTTCATTACTATATTGAGTCTGGAATATCAATATCAATAGATTTAGTGACATTCTCTTATAGATATGAAGATTTTCTACGCTTTGGCATGAAGTTTATCATGATCTAGTAAACACCATTGCCTTCTTCCAAATAAAGATGTCCATCATGCTATAATTCTAAGGAACTAACATAGGATCTAACAACTTTTATAGTCAAAATCCATCACCTAGGCGCACCTAGTCAACAAACTAGGTGACTGGGTGCTTCCCTGTGTTCTAGCTTCACCTTGGCACCCTGACAAATGCACTCACTCCTAGTTTGTAGAAGGCTGTTCAAGGAGATTGCATCAATTGGGGAGAACATAGGATGATGTACAACATGGACATCATAAGCAAAATAAAGAAAAACAAGTCCTCCAAGCTGGCTGCATAACTATGCAACTAAAGAACAGGGAAGAAATAGTACATGGAAAAGGATTAACTTGTGATACATCTCAAATCTAAAATCCTTGAATTTAGCTAATTTATATATTGTGATTTCTCTAGGGATCCATCTTAAGACAGTTGTATATGGAAAAAAAAAAGAACTTGTTTTCATTCAAATGATGGGGCAAACCTCCACTAGACCTTTCCCCCTCCCCCCAATCTGATAGCATGGGATTAGTCCTAACTCGACCCTCAACAACAATAATAACAATACCCTATCATCACCTCTGTCTTTGTCAAGTTTGCCTCACCACTGGCCCATTAAATATTAGGGGTGGAAAATGGATGGTTTTGGTTGGCTTGGATTTTAATTGAATGCTAACCCATCCATTTACAAGCCTAGGGCTGCAAATGGATTTGATCAAATTTGGATTTCGATTCAAGAAGAATTTCTATGAATTCAAATTCTATAAGAATCTGATGGATATTTTAGTTTGAGATTTGAATTCAATTTGACAATATTATTGGATATCCGATTTGAATACATTGCAGTGACAATACTCAAGGATGAAAATTTCCCAAAATATATAAATGATTAACCTAGTAACGAACAAATATATGGATTTAACAAGAAATTATCCAAGGTAAAAAACTAAAAGAGAAACCCCAAACCTTATGCACGCTGTTCATTACTTGATTAATCCTCTTTTAGTTTAAATCTAGAGAGAGAGAGAGAGAGACAATGGCCTCTTATCTCCTGTCAGTTGTGCACTATGTGGTAGACTCAACAGCAGCCTTCAACACCAGAGGATGCTCAGAATGCCCTACCTCGTGTTCATTACTTGATTAATCCTCTTTTAGTTTAAATCTAGAGAGAGAGAGAGAGACAATGGCCTCTTATCTCCTGTCAGTTGTGCACTATGTGGTAGACTCAACAGCAGCCTTCAACACCAGAGGATGCTCAGAATGCCCTACCTCGTTGCAGACATCACATTACAAGGTCCAGACCATCCCATTGCAAGGGGGTAAGGCAAATGGTAAGGAGAATGCTGCCAGCAGACTAACAGAAAAAAAAAATGATGAAAGAGGTGGAAATTGCAGGAAATGCATACTGATCTTGTGACATATCTGATTTCAGTCAAGTAACAAGAAGAGAAAGGGAGAAGAGGGAAGACGAGTTAAGATAGCCAAAAGAATAGGCTGGCGGCACCAGACCTTGTATATACAGATTAGGGTGACCGTACAAAATAAAAAAAAATAATAATAATAAGAGAACAGACTAAAGTGCCCTTGCGGCACATAGTACATATTACATCACTCCCCCTCAAGTTGGGGCATAGATGTCAATCATCCCCAACTTGTCACAAAGATCATAATGCCTCTAGGAGTTTACTCCCTTAGTAAAAACATCTAAAGTTGTTCCTCAGGCATAATGTATGGAGTACACTTCTCCTTTCTCAAGTTTCTCCCTAATGAAATGTTTGTCTACCTCAATATGCTTGATAGCAGCTTTATTGTCACAATAGAGTGACATAGGAACATCAAAGTGAAAAAACAATTCACCCAACAGGTTCTTGATCCATAGTAACTCAGCATCTCCATGTAACATGACCTTGTATTCTGCTTCTGCACTCGATCTGGCCACCACACTTTGTTTCTTACTTCTCCAAGTAACAAGGTTTCCTCCTACAAAGGTACAGTAACTACCGGTGGGTTTCCAACCATCCACTGAGCTGGCCCAATCAGCATCAATGCAAACCTTTACTCTCATATGTCCGTACTTCTTGAAGAGAATACCAGTCCCTAGGAATTTCTTTAGGTATCTGAGAACCCTGTCTGCTGGCTCTAGGTGTGCTACCTTGGGTGCATGCATAAACTAAGGCCACCCACGGCATATGCAATGTCAGCCCTAGTCATAGACAAATAGAGAAGTCTGCCCACATGTCTTTGGTACTGCCTTGGATCTTTCAAGGGCTCGCCACTGCAGTCCCCAAGTTTGTGATTGACATCTATAGGGGCGTCAGCTAGTTTAGTTGGGAAATAAAGATACCTGTTGGGAGCGGGTAACTTCAATTCCAAGGAAATAGCGCAAAGTCCCCAGATCCTTCACTTCAAATTGTGTAGCCAAGAACTTCTTTAACCTTTGTACCTCCGACACCCAATCTCTAGTGATAACAATGTCATTCACATAGACAATCAAAGCTGTTGTTTTTTCTTGTTCCTTCTTTACAAAGAGTATGTGATCAGTTTGGCACTACTTGAAACCCATTTGTTGCACTGCCTGGTGGAATCTGCTAAACCAAGCCCTTGGAGACTATTTTAGGCCATATAAGGATTTCTCTATTTTGCAAACTTTCTATTCACCTGTGTAAAACCTTTTGCTACCAACCGAGCCTTGTATCTCTCCACAGTGCCATCTGCATTATGTTTCATAGAGAACACCCATTTACACCTCACAGGCTCTTTTCCCTTAGGAAAGTCTAACAACTCCCACATGCCATTTTTATGTAGGGCATTGATTTCTTCCTCCATTGCACTTGTCCATTCAGGAACAAATAAGGCCTCTGAAACACTCTTAGGGAGAGGAACACTATCAATGGCAGATAGAAAAGCACAAAATGAAGATGAGATATTCTCATAGGGCAAGAAATGAGTCATGGGGTGGTGTGTGGTGCATGTTCAAACATGCTTCCTTTTTGCAATAGGAAGGCTCAGATCACAGCTTGAAGTGTCAATATCAATATGTTCAGGGATATCAACTGGAATAATGGTACCTAGGTGTGGTGAAGGATCCGACCTTAAGAGTTTGATGGCATTG